TATATATATCAACCCTTGCATAAAATAAAAATTATTTTTTACTATTTTTACTACTTTAATCATGACAGCCATATAACAAGATGTTTTTTGTTATTCATTTGTTTGTCAGATGGGTTCTTGTTCCTTGATGCCATTGCTCTGCTGCTTACAGTTGTGCTCTGAGCACTTCAGTTGTTTCCCAACAGAACTGATTTGAATGTGGTCTATAAATAGATAACACTGCTAAGCTTTGCATAATGTCTATTTTTAACTCAATAGATAATAAATACCAAAATAGCTCACTACAAGAAAACGGCTTACTGTTGGTCATAGTAATATTTTTTTTATATCAAAACTATTCATATGTTCAGGTCTCCCAATCAGTTATACAACAAACACATTGTAAACCCTGCTGTGTGTTCAGCTATTGGGTTTAATGTGCTGCTTATACACAAATGTTTATTAAAAAACAATATTTAGCTCCATCATGAAGCATTATTGATATTTTTATCATTGCAACAATCTTAGTCAAATGGTCAGATAATGTTATGTTTTAAAGAAGATACTGTTATTAAGTATTTCACAGTTTTCACAGATGAACAGTCAGAAAATATTCACCCTGAGTGTAAGGTGACTAAGGGTTTACCTTTTCAAACAGGTATATCCTAAGCTTGCAACCAGCAACTTTGAAAATGCTTTGGTTTAATAAATGTAGTGCTACAGCTCCCCACTATATAAAACATTAGCAGCTAATTTAGATTATTAGAAGCTGCCTTGAATATCTGCCTTCCTCAGCTTTAATTAGTGACAGCATTTCTGACAAACAGATGGTAACTAATTCATTTGCTGAGGTTTCTGTAGCTCCTGCAGCAAAGGATAAATTGCAGGGATGCATTTAATATCTGCTTTGGCAGGGGTCTCTTCTGCTGTTTTTTAATTTTAATAGATTGTTATCAGTCTCATAAGTAAACCTGGACCAATATTAACATCCAGTGTTTACAATGGAGCTAAATCTGTGACAGCTTGCTTTGACATTGAATGTGAGATTGGCATTTCAAATTTAAACACTGAAAGACCAAACAGTGAGAATTCAAACATTGAAATTCCAAACATTGAAAACACACAGTCATAAAATAACCTTAAAAAGGTAAAACACTGGTGATGAAACTGTCATCTTCAGCTGCAGCATTTATTCAATAAGAGATGATTTCTGTGTTACTGTAGAATTCCTGCAGCTAGGATGTCACTATAAGCTGCCCAGTGGGGCTAAACTAAAGGCTTAACTTCATTTTTTGACTTTTTCAGAGGAAATTTTTCAATTTCATTGTTTTTTTATTTACAGAATTTAAATTTCTGATGTTTAAATCAGAATCAGAATCAGAATAACTCTCAATGTTTGAAATTTTAGTGTTTAGATTTTCAGTGTGTCATTTTTCAATGCCAGATTTAATTTTCCATGTCAATCCAATAGTTTACTTCTATCTTGTTGTTTGTGAATGTGTTTTGGGAAGGGGTTGGCATGAGTTTGGAAATGTGGCAGCGCAGAACTGAGGGGTGTTTAGCTAAAGCTGAGAAGCAATGTCATTCATGTGTATTTAATTTTTTTCTGTTATGCTAGGATAAGGAAATTAATATCATATGCTCTATATGATATCAGTAAATATCAGTTATCATTTATAACAGTATCTGATATTGAAATTGGCCGCATTATAAGTAAATTGCGGCCAGTTGAGGTACAATAATCATACATCTATAGCATTCTTGAAAATGCAGGGAACTGATCTGTGATAGAGTTTAGACAATAGTTATAAAGTCTAATGAAACGGTTCGGTTTCTTTGAGCATCAGGAGCCGTCCCACAGGACTGCGATGTTCTCTCCCCCTGTGCCCAGTGCTGGCAGATTGCACCATAGCAGGACCAAATCTGTCAACTATTTTAGAGGTTCTCTGAGTACTTTTGGTGCTTTTGATGTCAGTTTGGCAAAAAAACACTCGGTTGCTATTTATGCACGTCTGTATTTTTTTTTAATTGGAAAAAATCTTAACCAGCCAACTACTTTTTTTTTTCTTCTTTTAAGCAGAGGAAGGTTTCTAAGGGTTTTTCCTCATCTACAAACATATTGCACAGCTGAATGACCACTCAGAGCCACGTGGGGCAAGAGGAGTGCTATACCTCATTATATTTATTTCAATCCACAGGAAGAGTGTTGGAAAAGTTGATTTCAGACATTGTGGGTCTCTGGTTTTAAAACTTTTTATTTATTCTTCTGAACAGTCTGATGCCTTCCCAGTAAATAATTATGAAGCAATTTGGCGAGCAGCAAGACAAGATCTTTGTAGAACCTGTCGTATTAAAGTTATAAAGTACTGAAATTAAGCAGCCACCTGCACTCAATCAAGAAAACTGGATTCCAGTGAACCGATTTAATCCAATAATTAGTTCAACTGAATTTGTTGTTGTTTTTTTCTGAAAATTATAAATTAAGTGTTGGAAATGCAGTCATATTATATACCTGGATTTATCCATGACTCATGTTGAGCTGATGTTTACAAACATTTCTGTTTTGCTGTTTTAAGTCGTGTTTGCCTGCTGCATTTCAAGAGGCTCATAAAGGCTTGTTAAACCTGCTTCATAAGGGAAGATATTTTCTGTCAAATATAATGAGCGATGGAAGGCGAGTCTGTGGTGAAGTAATTAATGTTAGCACTGGTCAGTCTTTACCCTTGAGCGTTTGAAAAAGGAGAAAAAGAAGTAGATTGTGGTTCGAGAAAATAATATAATTAGTTTATTTTAGTCATGGTTCATGTTTGTAAACGGTCAACAGATGGTTGTACTGGATGGCCAAACTTTCTTTAACTGAACATAAACTGGCAGTGTAATGTTGCTTTTGTATTGCTTTTTTTCTGTTAAATTCATAGAGAAATCCTATTTAAATATCAAATCATTCTGGCTTAAACATGTATATAAATGTACTCTTTATCACAATATTGTCCCAAGAATTTGAAAATTTCTATTTTTAAAAACAATCCTTTCTTAAAATCTGCCTAAAATCTTTTTTCTTAATCTTATGCAGGCCAGTTAGTTATACGTCAGCTTGTACACCTAAATTTGGCCAATCATATATCAACGATCATCTGTCAATCACGTTTTTTCAGTCATAGCATCTTGGTTCATATGTTGCAGCTAATATACGCAACGGTTGAAATAAGAAATAAGAATCATTATTTCCTTTCCCATTGAGTTCCGTCCCGGTATTCTTGGGGATGGATGTCTGCGTCTTCAGCAGGCGTAGAGCTAACAGAACTGGCAGCGTTGCGAGGCAAGGGCTCAAACATGTACGGCTGTAAGCCTTCTACACCAAACCAAGGTTCTGCCGCCCTGGCGTCCTTTTCCACAACAACTTCGTCCCTACTTTCCTCCTCTAAATAAAAAATGTATGACGGAGGAGACTCATCCACGACCACCGACACAAAACTCTCCTCCTGTTGCATGTTTCCACTGTCCATAGCTTTCTTTGACAGTGTCGTTGCTAAGTGTGACTTGGTCCCAATGTAATTTCCCATTGGGAACCTAATAGCACTAAGTTGCTAACTGGTTAGCAAGACGCTTTAGAGAAAACGACTACAGTCAAAATGCTTGCGAATCTTCCACCACAACAATCCCGCCCCCTGGATAAACGACCAATCACATTCACTTTATTCACTCGTGTAAAGTCAGGCACCACTCGGGAGAATTCGGAAATGCAGTGGTTGGAACAGCCGTTTCCTCCTTTTCCTTTCTGACTACACCTTCCTTAATGCTGCAACTAAAAGCACTTTTTAATTTTATCTACTAATAACTATTTTAGAGATAGTCTGGAGGCTAAGTGTCCAAACCAGTCAAGCCTTGCTAACCCTGGTTGATGCCTTGATGTTGGACCAATGAAATGTCCACACTGCATATCATTGGTCCGAAACATTTCTATATCAAGGCTAATGCATCTGATGGCTCCAGGCAAGATGCATTTTTGGGAGTTTGTGAATTCACAAATCTTGCGACGGTTCATCTTGCTTGCAAGATAAAAGGCTTGAAGCTAATATGGTGGTCCCAAAATTAACCAAAAAGCCTTAAAATGTTCCTTAGAAACATTCAGAATCCACTAAAACCTTGAGTTTTTAGAACCATCATAAACAACTGTTGGAAAGCTGATGGGTTTTTTCCACCAGTGCAGAGTTTACCTAACACTGGAAGCAGGCAAGTGATGCTGTATCTGTATCTGCATCCCTGGATGTCAAGAATTAATTGCAGAAGCTAGTTTATTGTGGTTGTTTTTCCTGATAGATCATCAGAATATTTGCTAGAACCATCCATAGGTATCCCAACAAAACGGCTGTAAAAGAGTTGCTTTAAAACAACATCAATGTTTCCCAGTAACACAGAATGAAGGTATTTTTGGTGCAATGGAGCATCAGACAAAATCAATCAAAAGGCCATTAGATGATGAAACCGCTCACATTATAAGCCCTTACCAAAGTGTTTTCTACGTCTTGGATGTTCAGACTTAAACTTTTAAATAAATAAATCTTTAAAGATGTAGCAGGGCTCACTAAAATATAGCCAGATCTAGGCCTGACATGGAAACTTGTTCTGCTCCACAGAACTCATGGAGGTGTTGGTGAGCACTCTCTCTGAAGCTGCACTGGTCTACCTTGATGAAGAAAAGCATGCTGGGAAGAAGATCAGCCTGGTTGTCTTACAAGCTCTTCTGGAAATTCTGAATAACATCCTGAAGCAAATATCGGTTGTTGTTCGAGCTGCACTGCAGGTATGAATTTGTTAACCAGACCTTACCAACATTTACTATGGATTTACATTATGGATGAAATTTACCTCTGATCACTTACTTTCATTGGACATCTTAACAAATTTTTGCCTTGCAAAACTACTCCCACCTTTAACTTCCTTCCATTGTGTCAGCTTATATCCACAGACTTCAATAATAATGTAGGCGGATTATGTGGTAGACCAAAACTAGATAAAAGAAGTTATCTGGTTTTCATTTCTATCTGGTAATATTATTTAACTCATTCCAACTTATTCCACTTAGACCCATTTATTTTAGTATCTCTTAACAGGATCAGGTGTGACAGATTTTATTCAGATGCCACTAAAATCTGTAGACATAATACTAAAAAAGAGAGAAAATCCCCAGAAGACATGTCGGCAGTTTGCCCCATCAGAAACACAGAGAACATGTGTAAGAAGGAAAAAGTTGAATTTGGGTCATGTTAAATCAAAAAGGTTTAAATAAATGTGTGGGAATTGTCAAGACAAAGTCCTGCATACAGCTTATAGTAAATCGTATTGAACTTTATGGAAAAGTTCCTGGGATGGGAATACTTTAACCTGACACTTTATTTTCCAACCTCTCTCACCAGTTCTTTGCCTCTTCATCTTATGTGGCCCACACTGGCCAACAAAATCACAAAGTCATCTAGCTCAAAATGTTGTCCTTGTATCTCTCTCCCAAAAGGCTGGTGTATGTATGTGTTGGAGAGTCTGTCCATTGATGTATGCAGTACAAGCTAGCAGGTTTAAGCAACTGCAATATTGAAGTTGTAGACTCAGGAGAAAGTGCATGAGGTCCCTGGGACACACACGCGCGCACACACACATATAGACGTATACTGAGGGGCCTGTCTGGCTATGTCCCTGCGGCCTCATTATCACCGCTGGCTTTGTCCTCACTATATAGACAGACACACATACACACAAACCGGCCCCCATCTCCCCATACTGTGCACCCCAGCCCAGCGCATACATATTAATGCTTGGACAAGGGGGTGGGGGGACTAAAGTGGAAGGAGGGTAAAAGACTGGGTGAAAGAGAGGACAGAGGGGAGAGGAGGAAGCATTGGAAGGAGAGATGAAGATGGAAAAAGGAGCAAAGAGAATGTGCAGCGGAAATCAATTCCACCTTAAATGCAAAGCTCATTAAAAAGGAAAATTCTGCCGAAACCAAATTCATTTGGGTAATAAGGTCCGATAAGGGAGGCGGACATGACTCCATTGCTCTTCCTAAACTGTTTCTCACTCGGTCAGAGAAAAGTTTCAGTACAGGCGTGGAAAAACAACAACACAAAACTAACTGACAGTGACTTTAGTAAAGGAGGAGGATTAGGTCATAATTAACCACCTTAATCCACAACTAAAGGATGGAGCCGATCTGTTGATGCTTCTGAATGACAAAACTACTGAGTACCTGGAGGTTAAAGCTTTATTATATGCTATAAACATTAGATGTGACAAAGGAAAGTATTTAAGCCACAGTTTGTTGTCCTCAGCGTCCTGCTAAGACAGAGCGGCAATAACGACACGCAAAAAATCTATTTCCTGTCTTAGTCTATCACTTCGTCTTTTTGTGTCAGTCTGTCAGAATAGTCTTGACAAGTCTCTGGATAAATCATTATTGACTGTCAAATCTCTATAAATGATTTAACGTGCGTGTGTGTGTGTGTGTGTGTGTGGATAGAGCCAGAGGCTATCTTGTTCAGCAGCAGAAACGGAGGCAGCAGAGAAACTGCTCGTAGCCAACAGACCCCTGAGCCAACTCAGCACTCCCCTCATCCACATGGTGAGACCTGCACTCACCACTCTTTGTGTTTTTGCACCGATAGTTTCTGCAAGCATCTTTGTGGACCTCATCGCATTACCTACACTGTCTGTCAAAAGTTTTCATACCCAGAGTGCTTCATCAACAACAAAGCTGTCTTATTTCTGTTATGTGTGAAGGAACGGCACAAAGTGGTTCATTATTGTGAAGCAGAAGGAACAAATTCAACATTTTCTTTAAAATGAGAAAAACTGGAAAGTATGTTTTGCTTTGTATAATACTGAAAAGGGTTTCCATATTTTTTTAGAGTCTATATACTTTAGGTTTTACCTAATCTGTAAAATGCCGCCTTAATACCACCTGCAAGCTCTTTGACAGCCCTCCATGTTTAGTAATAGATGACCTACATATGGCTGTTCTCTAATGAAGATCAGCAGGGCAGATAATAAAAGCAAACCCTCTGATGCGAGGAACCTGGTTGATCTGCATTATAACCTTATGACATGAAACTCCAGATCTGTTGGATATATACAGGGTATGAACACCTTAGCCAGGCCCTTTATGCTATGTAATAATCTGTTATATGAGCTGTTAAGGTCAACATTACCAGATAACACTGTGTTACCAAACATGAAATCAGCCACTTACTTTGAAAGTAAATTATAGGAATCTGATTTTATCAGCTAGGATTATAGCTCTGTTTTCTCCTGGATTTTATCCATTCTCCTGTGTTAATATTTGTTTTAAAAACTAGTAGAGTTTTACTGACGTGGTTTTTATTAAGAACAAAGCCAATACCAATTATTCTGGCAGTTGAATCGATCCTCAGTATGTGCTGCCGATTTTTAAGCCGATATTGATTTTTCTTTCCCCATTTATGATAACAAAAGTTAAATTTAACAAGTCCTAACAAATCAGACAAAATATTAATGGATAGCAAATGGAGAAAGCAGCAATGCCCTTCGCTAGATCTCAAGGGATGACTGCTGAGTGCATTAATGAATTGAAAAATGCACATTTAGGCTAAAGCTGATGCAAGAAAGGGAAGTAAATATCAGTTTCGCAGTGTTTCAGTCTACCTCTGGTTAATGGATCTTTCATGATATATAAAATAACTTCTTTTTTTATATATATATAATAATATATGCAGGCTATGATTTAAAATCACAGCATAAAAAACTAAGTAAACTTTTAAGTTAGTGAAAACAATATTTGTTGGGGTTTTTTTTCTTTTGGAGGCTCTCATGTAAGTGTTTAAAAAATGTTAAGACTAACTCAATAAATTAAATATATGCGTTGATGAAATATATTTCTAAAATGAAACGTCATAAAAAAATGCTTAAATTGACATTTAAAAACACTGCTTTTTATCTCATGTCTTATTTTAACATCTAATCTAAATTTAGAATCATATAAAAACAAAATGACCTGCATATTCAATAGAAATAAAACCATTGATAAATGTTATGGGTATAGTTAATATTGCAAACAGGAAGATAAAAGAGACCTATTTAGAATCAAATATAAAGTATTTTTACAATATAACACTCTGGCTGTAATCTCTGTTGTGACTGTTAACGTTGCTCTATATAACTCTACCTACTCTTCAGTGAAAATCTCAAAATAATGCAGAACAGTAGAGTTTAAATTAGAATAATAGTATGAAATACCAAAATGCTACATTTCTTAAATAATAAATTGTAAATGTAATCTGTTCTTATCTTCTTTAGGAATTGTATTTATATATCATAGAGAGCTGTTCTTAACTTTTACAGAAAAAGCCTCTTAAAGCTGCATAAAATGAAAGATTTAAACATTAACTCAAAGAAGAGAAACATTAAAAACAGAAAAGCTATAAATAGATCTAAGGCTTATTGTGGGAGCTTGGAAAACCTGATAAAATGATCTTGTTTAACTATGATATAACACATTTTTTCATTCAACTTTACATTATAGAACACTATCGAAGAAATCAAAACACAAAACAATAACTATTGTAGAGACATGCAGAGGTTTGATGGAGCAGAGTTCTATCTAACAGATGATTATTACTGTTATTACAACTCAATAGATAAACTGTTTAAAAAGAAAGAGAAATTGCTCCATAGACTGTGGAGTTAATTTTCACAGTTGAATCTGAATTTGTTTTGATGTTTTGTAAAAACAAAACAAATGTGGTATAATAAAGCGCTGGTTAGACAGGAAGCGAGGATTCTCTAAGTTATCCTGGAAAGTCGATGGCATTGTGGAGAGAGCATAAAGAAAGGAAATTGGGGGCCAGAATAGAGGTGCGCCTCCTGGGACACAATGAAGACATTAGAGGGTTGATGGAGCAAGCTCTGCACAGCCTCTTTGGCCTTTGAAAGATTAGTGAGTGAGTGAAACGTTGTCGATAGCAATCCAACATTACTAAAACTGCAGAAACCACCCTGTGAGAACAGCTCGTCTTAGAGAGCAGCAAACCTTTTTTTTTTTATGTTGAAAGTCTTTTTTATATTTCCTGAATGCTTTCCAAAAACCAAACAAAACACATTTCATTTAAAGTAAATATTTCCAGATGGAAGCCTAAAAAGCTAACGGTCCCTCTGTCTGAGACGTGGATAAGATCATTTTTATTTTCTTCTAATTCTCAGTAGATCCATCAATGGTACTTTTCATCAAGGATTCTTGCTCCATTGCAGATTTCTTGTTTCCTTTTTTTAGGGATGCAAGATATTGGGATTTTGGCCGATATCCGATATGCCGATATTTTAAAACTCATGTAGCCGATAACCGATATTGATACCGATGTTAAAGCTGGACAAAAATAAGTAGTCATTGAAAATAGCAGTTTTGTTATCCATTTCTGACACTTTGAAAAATAATAAACTCAAATATATTTTCATATGCTGATATCAAATTGATTTTTAAAAACGCAGTATCGATCTATTTTACTTTCAAAATCTCGTGAAATTTCATCGTTCTGTTACAAACTCTCGTGATATTTTGCAATTTCTTGTGAGATTTTGTTAGTGAAATAGATCGATACCGCGTCAATATATCAACATATAAAAATATGGCAAAATTTCGTGAATTTTCGGGGGATTTCGTAGCATAACGATGACATATAGCAATATTTCATTAGTAAAAGAGATTGATATGGTGTTTTTAAATGCCAATATATCAGCATATGAAGATATTGTGATATTTTAATGTATCAATATTTTTTCCCTCATCTTTAGAAGTTTTTAAGTCTGTAAAAAGAAGTTTTTGAGGAAGAAGAAGAAGTAGTATTTTTTATTTTTTTTTTTAGACTTTAGAAACTCAGAAGCTGATCAAATATCGGGTTAAATATCGGTGGGGTGGCCGATGTCCGATATTCAGTTTTAAGGCCGATACAGGCCGATGCCGATAGGGGGGCGATTATATCGTGCATCCCTACTTTTTTTTCCCAGAAAATCAAACTGTGTTTGATGCCAAATTCAGTTTTAAATAGTTTTATTTAAACAGAGAAGAAAGCTATCCAAGCCAATATGGTGTTTTTTGAAAATACCTCCATAGTCTCAAAAACAGTCTCTCTCAATAACAATAATGAGTTTAACACATAGAGACCACTTTAGTGCACTCAAATGATTTCTAATGTAAACACCCTGTTAGAGGTCCGACCACAGCTTATCCATACGTTTAAGTCCAGATATTAGACTACCTCTTTATTGTCTTTTATTGAAACACAAATTTAGTGCATCACTGTGTAGTAGAAGGAAAATAAAAAATAATGCATGTTTTTAATAATTTTTTCTTCCAAACCTAAATCAGCAACATGAAGAAATATTTATATGCATCCTCTTCAGCTCAAGTGCCTTTGAATACAATACAATCTAACCAATTATTCTTTTGGTTCTTTTCATCATTTTGTTTAGTCATCTTAGTTCACCTATCTGTAATTTCATCCCTGTTAACAAAAATAGTTTGCAATGGGATAAGATACTGTAGTTGGAGGAAAGAGTTCTACTGGGAATGAGAAAGACGTTCTTATCTGAATCCAACTGATAATAAAATCTCACTACAAATGCAACACATTTGGAACTTTAGGAGCTGAAGTCTAAATGATAATGACAACTTTTAGCAGTAAAATAAATGGAACCATGGGGATCACATTGTTCAACATCTCTGCAGCTGTCTACTGACAACCAGGAAGTGTGGGAGGAATCTATTCAGTGTCTGTCCTTACTGGCCCAACTATACGGCGGAGAGGGTCAGGACTGCTTATCACCTTCATGCCTACAGAGCTTCTCCCATCTCCTACGCGCTCACATGAACACAGAGACCCCCCGAATACAACGGACAGCTCTTAGGATCCTCAAACGGCTGGTGAGTAGTTCTACACAGAAACATCCGCCTGGGAGCAATAAATCTAAATCAGTGCTTTCCCAGTAGAAAATCTGGGAGCAATTGAGAAAAAAGGTGAAGTAATAAGGAGGCACACTGTGTTGGATACACTAAGACTCACACACTCATATTGGGTTCCTATTCCCCAAATAATGTGCAGTTTCACCAGAAAGTAGGCTGACAGAAGGAGCAAGGCAGAGAGAGGAAAAAAAGTGCTGGGTAGTTTCTTGCTGTCAGTATCTGGTCAAGAGTCTGTCCAATTCTGTGGGATAGTCAGTATGATTTGTGTCTCTGATGAAAGCTAACCTGGAAGTGAGTGCACTGCAGCAGAGCTGCTGCTTCTCCAACACAACAAATATAAGTTTGTTATTCAGCTAGAGTTGAGAAGAAAACGGGACGGAGCCAGGACGTTTTTTCCAATTTGGCACGACAATAATGCTGTGCTAGGCCTTTAAATCATTACAACCATAGCTCCGCTGGGTCACAAATACTGATTAGCTGCATTTTTGGAATCAAGAGAATCACAACCATCTTTTAATACTGGGCAACGGTGCAACGCTCTAATGTTTCCCCTGTGATCATGCAGCCTTGCTCTCTGTTGTAAAGTGATAGAAAATGTTCTCAGGTACAACATTTACTCTGTTTTTTTTAGGACTCAGTAATCCTGGAAGTTATTAACTGTTTAGGTTAAATAGAGACACACATTCTCCATTAAAGTTCAAATTCAGTGTTAAAAATGAACCCAATATTTCATTGTATGGTTTCCATGTTTTGTGGATTATTGTTAGATTTCAGATTTGAACTGTTGTGTGTTTTGTGTTACTGCGTTGATGGCAGAGACTAATTAAAGTCATTTTAAAGCTGTCAACAGAAGGTTAAAAATGTGTCTAATTTTCTGGTACACTTGTATGAATTATGCAAAATGCACTCCTGGAGTTTTGGCTTGGCCGCAGGGTCATGAAACAGTTTCTGCACGTGGGACGCAAGGTCAGCTGCCACCTCTGTGTTGGATGAACTGACCCAAGGCTGTGCCTGGAAGCTACTTCACTTTGTAGTTTATGTGTCAGAGAGGAAGAGGATCATTTGCATTTGTAGATATATTTGTAATTCCTCTCACTAATTAGTTCTGGCCATCTGAACCTCCCACTCACTATCTATCCATGGCACAGACCCCCTTTATTTGTCTGACAAACTCCCTCATTACCCCTGTGCTGCCTCAGTGTGTCTCTCTGGCTCTCTCTGCAACACACAGTGGTGTTTTTCAGCTCTCCTTGTATGTAGGATGATTCACCCCACCAGCATCTCAGTGGAGGTACAGCTAATTTACCCCACGCCCTCTCCATAGCTGTCCTGTTTTTCACACAGGAGTCATCAAATGTGTGTCAAGTAGATTTCAGGACCCACATCATTTCAGTCCACGGGTTCAAAACAGGAACATTCCCGGTTATCAATTGCTTAAATAATATCAATATTAATAGAAAAATCATCTAGGCCAAAAAAAAAAAAAAACAGACCATATATGGTGATCGTTTGATGTATTTTTGCCCCACATATATACAACATAAAAGCTCCATTTACCATGTTTAGATTCCAATCTGATAATTATACCATGCAATGCAGTGCTCCTTAATTCGTCTCCCACATTCTCCTTCAAACACACGCACCTACTCACTGAGCCGAGTGTCTGCCCTTCACAAAAAGCTTTTTAATTATCTCTCATTGATTTCAGGGTTCTGTTAATCTCAATCAAAGATCCCGCTAATAGCTTGGAAACTAAAAAAGAAAGGAAGGGGAGAATAAATCATTTTTGAATTACTGAGATCTGACTGCAATTTATTTTTGCAAATTAAAAAGACAAAAAAAAAAATGCTAATTCAATAAGGCAATGTGTGATTAGATAGAAGCATTTATCATTTTCTCAGAGTTTATTTCAGCTTTTTAACTTGTTAGTCTCCCTTTAAATGTCAGTGGTGTCTCTTCACACATCACAATAAATAAACATATAACCCTTAAACTTTTGCTTATTTTCTCTTGTCACACCTACAAACTCTAAAATATTTTATTGGGGGTTATGTTATAGATCAACACCAAGAAGCTCACAGTTTTAAAGCTGAACAGAGAGAATAGGTCTTGAATTAGTTTTAGATAATAAAATCTTAAATAATGGGCTTTTCTATTCATGTTCCTTTACTGTATTACCTCAGAAAATGAAAAAAAAAACATTGCTCTCTTCCATTGTCAGAAGTCACCTAGTTAGTAGATAGAGCCCCCCTGTTGGTAATTCCCCTGGATTATAGCTCATCTTGGAGATGGTTTAGTGAAGCACTATTAGTTTTGCACTCTGGTTAGCTGGTTAGAGTTGATGGGATGATTGATGGAGTTAGCTCCATAGAAAAGATGGAAGAAAATGTTAAAGAACCCTAAAAAAAGTAAATACCAGAGTAGAGGATGTGTGTCCTGGGAGGAAAACAACCTTGAGCATACAGGGCCAGCCCAGGCCTTCATGGGGCCCTTAGCAACATTGGATTTTGGGCCCTCCATATCTGTCAATAACAGTTCAATATTCAGATCATTAATCACCAAAACATTCATTTCTATTTATGAAGATTTCCTTTTTAGAAAATCTGGATTTTTCCTACCAATCAATTCTTTGGGTTTCCACAGCTCAGAGTGAAACCAGTTCATCTCTACTCAGAACTGATAAATTATGAAACCTCAGGCTGCAAACATTTAGTTTGTTATATTTTTACTGTTTGTTGTGAAACATGACTATTTGAAAAGCCTTTAAGTAGCTAAATTAAATTTCTAAACTTTCTATTTATTTGAAGAATAAGTATAAATGCTTGTATTTTACAAATTTGTGTCAACCTTTATAACGTCAATGATAACGAATGAGGAACCAGCTGTAAGAGAAACAAGAGCTTTCCAAAGGTTCTTAGGGCCACACTGAATGTGTAATATCTGACTCATGCTAGGTTGGCTGCATATGATAAAAAAGGGTTTGTTGCTTATTTGAACCAACGGGCGTTAAGGGGTTCAAATAAAGTCACCTTCCAGAGGGGAGGATTAAAATCAAAGTTAGTTTTTGAAAGCAATATATACAAGTTGTCATTTTTATTATGAAACTTCAGTGAGAAAAAGAAGAAAATGTTTTGGCTTGAAAAAAAAAAGGAAGATAAAATTTTTAAGCCGTATTAACCATTCCTAAATCTAACAAATAATTAAATCAAACAATGAAATATCAAGTATCCCCTTAAATAATGAAATAGTAATAAAATGTTTCTTAAAATCAGGGTTTTAGTGAATTTAGTAGATTAATCAGCCCCTAAAACTATGTAAATGTGTGTAACTATATGCAAAGCATTGATTTGAAACCATAAACTACCTTTAGCCACACATATAACTTATTTGATGTTCTTTCTCAGTACTCCACTCGCACCTTAAAATCTTTGCTTTCTGGCTTTTCTGTTTGCAAAGTTACTGATGACATCACTGTAAGCGCTCTGACAGAGGACTTTGTTGCTAATGCTAGTCACTGCCAGCCCACTCCATCATTCTTCCACCATGGAAGACCTCAGGTGCAGCAGTTCTTTATCAATCTGGGTTTGGAAAATCTCCACCCTGCAGATGCTACAGTCACAGGGAGCGCAGGCCGTCCTCAGAGCTACCTAAAGGTCTGGGTGGAACTCTGATCTCATTCTGAGGAAGGGAAGTGAGGTAATGTGGTTGCTGTGTAAATTGCTGTGCTTTAGGACGTCTGGAGGGTTTGAATCCAGTCAACTCTCATCAGACTGTTCTCAGTTTTACTTAGAAAAGTTTGGCCCTTCCTCGTACGTCTACCAGTCTGACCCAGACCAATTTTATTTTTATGTGTAAGTTATAATTTCTAAGTGATTATAAATATTTTTTCAGAAAGTGCAAACAATTTTATCATGATTTTTTGTGTTTTTATTACTTTATTTATATGGAAATCATTATACTGGCGAAAATTAAAACCAGTTAATTGTCCTTTTGGGGGCCCCTTCGGCCTTAAGCGGTTTTCTTTCGCCTTCAGCCAGCCCTCCATAGGTTCGTAGTAAACGTCTTGATCAAAGCACATCAGTGTGTGGAAACGGCCCAAACATAAATCCTTGAAAAGAATAAAAACATGAAGCTCATGTTTTACTCCTAAAATAATCCTTCCTTTTCATTAGAAGTTACTTATCAATGAATATCCTTTAAATTAAAATAATATATCCACTGAAAAACATCTCAATATTCAGCTTTTGATAGATTATGTCAAAGGTTGTTTTTTAGCAGATCTCTTGTTTCTCTGCTGTCAGGTACATTGTCACTGGTATAAACTGGATGTCTATCATGACAGCGCTGCTCTATATGTCTGAGAAGCTGCGTGTCCGTCTGTCAGCTGCACTCTGTCTGGGTGCATCGTTTTCAGCTTTGAGTTCAACATTATTGACTTGGTTGTTCGTCATGTTGAGCTGCAGAGAATGAAGGAAAAGTTTGTAGGGATGAGATGCAGCGTTTAGATGGCAGGCTGGTGAAAATCAAGTGTCTGTGCACTTGTGTGGAAAATAAGTGAGGGGAGCATCTTTTCTCTCCCCCTAACCCCGTTACTTAGCAACAACTGTACTGTCGCCACAGAGACGGCCATGATGATGTCACCAGAGATCAAAGAAAACATGTTCTATGAACCGGGCAGCATCAATCCACTCAGCAAACAGAGCTGCAAGCTCACACTAAGAAAATTAGTCTTTTTTAAATATAAATGATTATAAAAGATTTTCTCCATAGAACTAAACTTTTAATTTAAAGTTAAAATAGCTCCTTTTTCCTCATTAAGCTCCTTTTTTTTTGGTTTTTACTCTGGCAAAGCACCTAGATATCAAGTTAAGAAGCAGCAGGGCAGGTATTAATCCAGGGAAATCCCACCAGGAGACGGCAAACAATGAAGCTGGGCAGTCAGAGAGAGTGATGCTGACACCCAGGATTAGGAAGTAGGTCCAAGGAGCCAAACCATTAAAACTTTTTAATAAGTGCAAGGTATAGTAACTTTGATTATCTTTCTTTAAAATAACAGTAACAGTAGAGTACTATGTTTAGTAATGTCATGGACCAGTGAGCCTACAGTTTACCAAAGAAATCAAGCCCTTATACATCTATATGGCAAATTCCATGCTTGGGCTTATTTCCAAAATTATTTAGGACTTAAATGAATGACTAAATAAATTAATATATTACCATAAATTATTATTAATTTTCCTTTAAAACTTTTAAAATTGAAAGTTCTCGCAATTTGCAGCCCTGCTCAGCTGTATATAACACTGGGACTGCAGGTTTTTGTCTTTAATTCATTGTTTATTGATCAACATTTAGCAGAAAATCAAGTTTGATGTTTTTAAATTAGTATATTTATATTTTTACAGAGAGTTGGGAAATGTGAATTTGGTTGAATATATCATTGACCAAAGCACTTTACACAACATTCAGACATTCACCCGTTGACGCATGCACACCAACACCATCAGTAGCCAACATGGGTGAAGTGTTTTGCCATAGGACACAATGACGCTGAAAGCCAGAGGCGGGGCTCAAAACGACAACCCTCTGATTGCCACCGCTGCCCCAGTTAGCCTTAAACTGTTTAAAAATCCTCTTTATTCTCCATTATATTATGCCTTATTTGTAACAAAAATAATTTTGTGTATCAAATGTTTATTATTGTTGTTATTGATTGTGATATCAGTCATTCAAGTGGATTATTTATGAATGGATCATTTATACTTTTTTTTAAAAAGCCTTGAGAAGTGAATGCAGCATATTTACACACCCACAATAGTGAGGCATGTTATTGTCATGCTAGTTTGGTCACACACTGCTGTCTGCCGTTCTATTACTCCCAGATCCCACCTTATGTCAAAATGCTGTCCCACATTATTGCTCCATCTCCCCTTAAAACTTCGGTACGTCGGTTTTCCATTAACACAATCCACAATTTCAACTCTGATAGGGAAAAAAACTGAACTTCCAGCAGTTTAGTTATTGCCATGAAGAATTGTTGCAAATAGTCACGGAAAACACACATGCTTACTTTTTGTGCCCATTTTAGATGCTTATAGAATTGCAGTGTTTATCTTTGTTCCTATGGCTGTACGTCCAACAGAAATATCTGATTGTTGTCTACCATCTATCTGCCTGCCTTTACTAACCAGGGTCTTAGTTGTATTGCTGGGCAACATCTGAAATGCAGCTGCGGTCTTAGTTTTCCATCCCAGAATCAGACTGAACAGAATTGTGATTTTATATTCTCTTATTTTGCCTTCTTCTTTTTTAGATTCAAACTACAGACCAGCCTGATTGGTTGAAATGTCCTGAGGGAGTGGCCCTAACGAATCTGCTCCAGGATATTGCTGCATCCAACAGGTGCGTCTATTTGATGATGCATATTTTTTTTGTCCTTTTATATTTGGTTTATTATATGGCTTCTTCCTACACTAAAAGGAGAAATGAAGTATTGCAAACCTGTCCCTCCAACTAACAGAAAGAGTTTTTTAAGGTGAAGTTGGCTGATTCACAGCTGCCGCTGGATGTTATTGGATCGGTTTGAGAGTGAACAGGAAACCGGCTGCAGATTTCTGCTTCTGTGTGGCTTTAAGGCCTAAGAGAGGAACACAGTTCCAGTGTTGTATAGTAACGAAGTAAAAATACTTCACTACTGTACTTAAGTTTATTTTGGAGTACTTCATACTTTTCAAGAGAATATTTTTTTTTAGAATTTTCACTTTTACTTCATTACATTTACGAACTTAATTGCATACTTTTACTCCGATACATTTTCAATGTTTGGTTTTGTTACTAAGTAAAAAAAAAAAAAAACAAGCGAGAGAAACTTAAGTGTTTTTACCCCACCTACTGACTACAAAGTCGGGTCTTGCCTGGGCTTGTTCATCAACACCAATAGGATACGCCTGTTTCGCAAAGCCAGTCTAAATTTATCCTACAATTGGTTGTTTATATTATTTTAAGTGAATTTAACCTTCAAAGTTTACCAAAATGTGAAAAAATGTCATTCTATCTGCACTTACTTTTTACTTATACTTTTCACTACATTACTTGAGTACATCTATTTTTACAGTAATTCTTATACTTAAAGGAAAATTCCGGTTTTTAACACTTTTAGCCCATTTTCTGTAGTGTCCAGGATGAAATCGAATGATCGACACCAAAATTTTGACAATTGGTCCTGTCTCTGCTATTTGGCTCATGCAGAATCCCCCCCTGGCTGCTTCAGAATGGCTTCCATAGTGCATGTCCGATAATGTCCTTAAAACAACCTTAAACGTTCTTTTTTTAAAATATGCTACTCACCGGGTCGTCAGCGCTGTTCAATGACGTTCCAAAAAAAGTTTTGTGAAGAAAAACCGTTCCTGTCTTGTTTTATTTAGCATTTTGTAAATCCCAGAACTATTTTTTCCGATACATCACAACCGCTTATAAACTTCCGCTTCCCGTTCGAATCTGAAGCGTTGCACACTCCAGGCCACTAGTTGGCGACAATGTCTCTATATACTCCTGCTCAGTATATTCCGGTTCAAAACGGTATCCTCTACCGTCAAACTCAAAGTCCAATATGTCCTCCTCAAGAATCCACCTTTCGTATTCCATTTTCAGAGTTTTTTAAAGTGTTTAACAGAGACGTTAGCACCTCGACGTCGGAGTACACAGAGTGAAGCGAAAAGACTACAACTATGCGTAAACAGGCCCCATTTCCGTTTCCGGTGGCGGAGGGATATTGACTATTCCAACAGAACTCAATGGGATTTACAAAATGCTAAATAAAACACTACAGGAACGTTTTTTCTTTACGAAACTTTTTTTGGAACGTCATTGAACAGCGCTGACGACCCGGTGAGTAGCATATTTTAAAAAAAGAACGTTTAAGGTTGTTTTAAGGACATTATCGGACATGCTCTATGGAAGCCATTCTGAAGCAGCCAGGGGGGGATTCTGCATGAGCCAAATAGCAGAGACAGGACCAATTGTCAAAATTTTGGTGTCGATCATTCGATTTCATCCTGGACACTACAGAAAATGGGCTAAAAGTGTTAAAAACCGGAATTTTCCTTTAAGTACAAGCCATATCAGATACTTTAAGACTTTTACTCAAGTAACATTTCAGTCAGTGACTTGGACTTTTACCAAAGTCATGTTTTGGAGAGGTACCTGTACTTTTACTTGACTCCGAGATTTCAGTACTTTATACAAAACAGTTCAATTCGATTCTGTTTATTTATATAACGCCAATTAACAGCACATGTCATCCTAAAGCACTTTACAGAGACAATTCAACCAGATCATACTGTCAGATTGATTCAAATTTTCTATCACAAGAAAACCAGCCGATTGCATCGACTCATTGACTCCTCAGCAATTCCTCACACCAAGTATGCCTGTAGCGACAGTGGAGAGGAAAAACTCCGTTTTAACAGGAAGAAACCTCCAGCAGAACCAGGCTCAGTGTGAGCGGCCATCATCACTGGTTCATTGTACAAAGAGGAAAATTCATTCATGATGTTTTTAGGAAAGTTTTTACTGGGAGGTGAGATCCTTTCATTCAATAAGACTTTGTTTTACCTGTCATCAATCCCGACATTATCACCATACGGCCCCACATCCCCTGAAGCGCTGAAGCCAATGCTATAAGAATGAATGTTTTAGGTGTTTTCATTTTCTCAACCTTTTTTTGGCATTGGAAAAACACAGATTGGGAACCACTGTTGGAAATGAAGACCTCTGTCCAAGATGTAAAACCTGACTGCTCAGTCTTTCTACATAGCTTCTCTCTGCACAGTTGCTCTTCTCTAATATCCATCCAGTTGTCTACGCCCGTTCTAACTGTTGCATGGCGTGAATCTTCATACACTGCTGTAAATCAGGTCTGTCAGACTGTATATCAGCCTCTGCTTTCAACCCTTATGAACCTTTTCATCTTGTTTTGCTAAGTACTATTTGTGCTTTAAGACACAAACGTATCATTTCACCGCCTCTGCGCTGCTGGTTATGCAGCAGCTGGCTCCAACTCACCTCCTTGGTGTAAAAATCTAAACATCTTAACTTTGAGAAACTCAAGGACATTTCTAAATCTTTTTTGACACCCAGGAAACCAAAATCATTGATATAGGATAGAAACCACTTAGCTGTATGTAGGGCTCACCCATCAGGGACCATTATAACAATACAGACCCGACAATAAACTTAATCCGCAAAATATTTATTCTTAAAGGAATGTTAACAAGGCGGAAAGCTGTTGCAGTTGTTATGTTTTCATTACAAGATTCTGCAAAAGTATTTGAGTCCTGAGCAATCCCCAATTTTTAAAGTTGTCAACCTCCAACTTCAATTTTTAAATTGTATCTGACAGAGCAGAGCCCGGGTTACATGGTTTAAATATTGCAAATATGAAATGTGTGGCGTGAGTATTTCATGAATCTATTACAGAAAGTGCAGAAAATGCAAATCTATTTCATGAACAAGTCGCTACAGAGGCATTTTCTTGCCATTTTTTTGCATTGGTTTTTTTTTTTAAACAACCTCCAAGGCTGATAAGAAAAAGCCTGATCACCATATTATGGTTTTAGAGAGGCTTATGGGTGATAAATCAAACAGTAACCCATCAGAAATCCCTGCTTCAAACTTTCTCTCAGATCCCTGTTTGTTCTCTAATGCTCTCTGTGGCTTCTGCAGGCAGCTGGATTTTATTCAGGGGTTTCAGAATAAGGAGGGATGATTACATCTCCAGGCACAAGGGTTTCCACTGTTCATAAGAGACACACAGGAAATCAGTTTTTTATTTTGGTTCTGCTGACATCGTTTGGTCACTATGGGTCTGTGGTCCAGGTTAATAAAGTCCATCACAGGACAATATCAATCTATTCACTTGGAAGAAGAAGAAAAAAAGAAATAGCTGTTGTCTGCAGTTGTGAAAATGAATGACTGGATGTGCATCGGTCTCCACATGCACACCTGGACCTGCACCGGGCTGCTTTCATGAATGTGTGGGCTGAATGTTTGCTCCCTCTTTGTACCGAGGGCTTTCTCACTATAGCGACCATGCTTCCTTTGATCCTTTGATGTACCAGGCCGGCGACCTCACTCTCTCTCTCACACACACACACACTTAGGTGCTTTCACCCTCCTGTCTATCCAGATTCTGTCTCTCAATCACACACAGACTCTGCCAGATCAATATTAAAGGTGTATTGTTGCTCTGCTATTGAGGCCCCTCTTATTCGACCCGCCCTCTCCACCTCTTTTCTCCTCAGCCACGTCTTTTATTTCTCCCTTTGTCGCCCTCAGAGCCCATATCTCCTCCACGAGCAGCCCCTCTCCATTTCCCTCCCTCGTGCTTCTCTCCTCTCCTCACTTGTTTCTCTGCCAGATGAAAGCAGAAATCGGCTCTCTTCTTTGAAGTGGCCGTGGCTGGCACCCTCCCTCCCGCCTGGCAGGAGGGAGGGAGGGGAAGTGGAGGTTTTAGGGAAAAGGGCAGCAGATGAGGAGAGAGAGGACAGGAAGAGGAGGGAGAGGTTTTAATTGAGAAGATGAGAGGAGTTTTGGAAGCTTTGAGAGCAGAGGTCAGGGCTCAGATAGTAATGATGTCATTGTGCCTTTACCATGGCAACCTGAGGAATGCTTTTTCAAACTCCACTGTCTGTGGAGGGAAGGGGTGTTCCTGAAGAAAAGGCTGGAGGGTCCGAACCTGATCCCAGCTCACCCCTGCGTTGTCGGATACCTGCGGCAACATCAGAAACGCTCCTCCTGACTTTAAGTTTGGACTCCGAAATGAACGGAACAGCTGCAGCAGAGGTTAGCTGTAAAATGTTGGCGTTCAGCAGCAGAAACCGATTAAGAAAACATTTCAATTATGGGGTGATTTTGTTTTTCCCCAGCAATATGTTCCAGAAACAAGCCAGCATCAAAGGGCACCATCTGCTCGGCTGTGATCTGCCCCCTCCTACATGTGGTGTAGATGTTAGAGGAACTGTTTCCATCTTCATGCTGAGCTTATCAATAATAACATACATCCTGTTCCTTTCTAGGTGCCATGCTGACGTGACTGTTCTGGCTGCAGAAATCCTACAAGAGGTCTCTGGTTCCTCCACAGATTAACGGCATTTTACCCCCAATGTTAAACCTGATGTCTTAAGTTTTTGGATTGTTCAGAGTTCACTATAGAGGCTTCAATGGATTTGATGTTTTTGTTTTAAATAAATCTTTATTTTCGCCAGAATCTATATAAACTAATAAATTAAGCCATTAAGATATTCCTCATGACTCCATTCATCAATGTCGCATCACCAGCTCATCTGAAACATCCATCCAGACTGCTGGATTACATCATGAGCAGTAATCCGGGCCGTTACATTGGTACTGACCTCATAGCTGTGACAGAATATTGACTCTGGATTATCTGTGAATGTCAACCATTAAATCATAACAGATTCTAGTTTTTCAGTCTGAAGCTGTGAGACATAAATCCGGGTCACAGCTGTTACATAACTCTGACCTGCATTGCTTTTACTCGACAGGTTTGACAAGTAAATAACAGTTTGATGATTCTATAAATTGGGCCGTGAAAAAATTAAACTGACCAAATATTGGAGATTTAATGTAAATGTATTCATCCTGTGCAGTTTATAAGCTGTAGGTGAGTATTTGTTCGGACTCAATTGGCAGCAGCTGTTCACACAGATATTCCTATTTTGTAGTAGTTCCATGTACCCAGGAAAATATTTATTTAAAGGATACTTCTAGTCTGGATAAAGTGATGCATTTTTAGACTTGACTCCCAACTCTGCCATCTGAATGTGTCTTTTAACCCCATGATTTCCAGCTTCACACATTTCATCAACATCAAACAATCTAGAAATAAGTATAAAATGTCTTAAATTAAGTGTATTTAACCTTAATTTGACCAGGTAAACATAATAGTTTGCCAATGGAAAGAGTATTTTTACTCTTAAAAGATTAGATAATATGCACTTGAAATAAGACTAATTGCCAATGGAACAAGACCATTTACACATAAGAAAATACAGTGTCTCTTTACCTCAATCCAAGAACAAATTCACTTATTTTAAGAAAAAAATGACTTGTCTAGATTTCGATTTTTTTCCAGTTAATGATTCAAATTTAATTCAGAAGTAGTTATATTGCAATCATCCAGGTTCAAGATGCTCATTCTAATATATTTATTCAAAAAGCAGTTTTCAAAGATAATGCAATCTCATGATCGGTGTCGTTTCCTTGTCGACCTACAAAGGTTTTAATGGACCCTGGAAATTCAGTCTGTTGGCATCCAGTTAGGGAAGCAGGTCTTATTGTAGGACATGCATATTTTCTACTGTACCAGAGGTTAACCAGATTATTTTAACTTAGCATGTTTGCCATTCTTGCACATACAAAAAAAAAACAAAAAAGAAAAAAAAAACATGAGTATCTGTTAAGTAAGGAATCAGGACTAAACATGTGCTTCTCTCTATATAACTTTAAGATATCTTAATTTTTATTTAGTAAAAATCAGGGAAAACTACCGTTTGAACATAAAGGGTATTTTAACAGGTTAATGGTTGAAATGAGACAGACATCTGGGTGAAATGACAGTCCATTTTATTGTTTCAGAACACAGCAGGCTACAAGCAACCAGCGCCTCACTACTTCCCCCCTTTGTAACAGCAGACCAATAGGAGCACTTCTCCACCCCATTCCTCACAGACACTCCCACCCAGCTCGGTCAGCTAACCCCCCTTTGGAACAGCCGGGACACATCAGTGTCCTCCTTTAAAGCAAGAAAATAGCTCGATATTTGGACCATGACTTCCAATTCACGTTTTGTTTTTATACAAAAGCTACACAATGTTACACTTGATCATTAGAATACAATTCAACTGATTACCTTTAGTGTTTGGACACCATTTAAAAGCTCGTCCAGTTCTTTTGGACGAAGCATCACCACTTAAAAATAAAAACACAGATTTAAAATACAAGGGACTAGAAAATAAAAGTGAGTATCATGATGCAGAAAAATGCAAGCTCAGTTCAGTTTGTACCATTACAGACCTATAACAGAATAAAAAAGTAAAACAAACAAAGGTAGTAAAAATGAAAAATAAAAACGCATAAAAAGGGTTTTTGGGAAGAAAAAAAAAAAAAATGCGTATGAGATCAAAATGTTTTGCGTCAGGATTAAAGTCAGTCTTCAATGAGGCTGAGAGACCAGAACTGAACCGCACTAAAATCTACTTTGTCCCAATGGAGCTCCTGTAGACAGGAATATGCTTGCTGTTGTTGAGTCATCTTCAGGCACTTTCTGAAACCCCGCCTCCTCCATATGGGCGAATCACGATGCAGGTTCATCCAGATCACATGATACAGCTGGAAGAGAAAAGAAAAAGAAGTTGGAGGGGAAGAAAGCAAGAAGACGGCAGCGGTGCTGGTGAAGGACCACACACAGAGATCAAACACCACATCACACAGCTTCAGAACAGGAGCCGTCTGGACATGCAACAGCCAAAATGAGGCTCCTCCTCCTCCTACCATTTATCTGGGACACTCCCCACTGTGCTTCCACATCACATCTTTGCTAAGGAGTCTTGAAGAAGGCTACAAAGTGGGATAAGAAGTGGGTCTTACCTAGTAAAAAGTGTAGTGTAATGTCGGTCTCGGTATTTACAAGTCGGTATCAAACCAGGCCAGTTGGTTTGAGTCGCCAGGCGGGAGGCCCTCTATCAGCTCAGGGGCGTGTCCCAGGTCAGGAAGCCCTTCTACAGGTGGGTAGTCCTGGCCTGGGTGGTGACCTCCACCCAGATCATGATCCATCATGGGCTCCAAGCCCATGGTGTCCCCTGCATATCCCCCAGAGTGGAAGGGACGGTAACTTGGGTCTGGGGAGGCAGGAGGTGGGAGGGAGGGAGAAGCAGGGGAAGCAAAGCTGCTGTTAGAAGCTTGTTAAAAACCACACAGTCACACAGTAGTATGATCAAATGTAACACAGCACAGCAACACAGCACACGCCATCACCGCTCGGCTCCGTTTTCATGGGGGAGTCGGCCAAAAAGTTCAAATTGTGCAGCAGTGGCGGGATGGTGAATACGATCGAACATTCAACTTGTTTGGAAGCCATCTTTGTTGGAAGAATGAGGAACGCAAATAAAAATCCCTCTGACCTACTGATCACTAAATCAGTAGGATGGTCCAGGTATTAAAACTGGAAACATTTTTTTTCTGTTCGTACAAGTCCTTAGAGATATGCAACCCGACTGCTTTATAGAGACCATAGAAGAGCCCAGCTCAGACGATCCTGCTGGAAATGTTTGCAACTAAAGGGATCAGGAGCAGAAAGCTGTTAGACTCACCATCTTGCCTGTAGCCCAGAGGCTCTCCCTGTGCTCCGATGTCCAAACCCAGGTCTCCAGTCTGTAGGGGAGGAGTTTTAATACTTTAATCTTTTGCTCCACCAGCATCACTATAAAGACGTGGCCAGAACAGAAATGCATCATACCTCGTTCCAGGACATGGCTTCTGTCCTGAACAGTGAGCTGGTGAGTTCTACCGACAGGCGCTTCTTGTAGTCTTGAGGTTTGTCCTCCGACATACGGAACAAAACTGCTGCTGCATATGTTGCTGGGGAAAGGAAATGGTGTTTGGATCAGGTTTTATATTTATCACTCCTCAAACAGAAAATAGCTGCTGTAGTTAAAATGAATGAAATTGTTCCTAAGGGTCTGTTTTTAACAAATCTAAAATTCAAAATACATTATGTATAAATAAGTAATAAAGCGTTGCCTTGTACTTACCAACTCCCTCATTACGGCTGTGCAGCAGCTCTGTGAGAGGAGCGCTGGCTCCCTCTGCCTCGATGGCCTCTGCCACCTCTTTGTCCTGAGCCAGCTCACAGAGGACGCCTGCTGCTACACGCTGGATGTTCTCGATCGGAGAATACAGCAGCTGAACACAGCGGGAAACTTACGGTTAAATATCTACTTTTATTATTACACATCTTGTAGTTGAAGTCGAGCTTTAGAGAGGTGGAGCTGAAAACCTAACAGGTGAACACGGCGAGTAAAGCTGAGGACATACCTGAACGAACAGTGGAATGGTGTTAAGACCTCTGATGACCACTCTGTTGTGGAGATCTCTGGCCAGGATATGAAGCGCTCCTGTGCAGCCCTCCACTATCTCCTCCATACGGACTCCCTCCTGAAAACAAACACTTGAGCTGAGGACTGGCTGTTCGTCTTTCCAATTCACCCCCCCTCCACAGGTCGCCTTTCCAGCTCTAATGACCTCTATAAGAGCGTGCAGTATATCCCCATTCTGAGACCAAGCCTACTTTCAGAGGACATGGTGAGCTTACCACAAACTGCTGCTGTGTGCCTCCCATGCTGGTGCGTCTCTGTGTGTCTTGGTGGGCTCTGACCAGCAGCTGGACCAGTCTGGGGATGGCCCCGTGCTCCCTCAACGGGGCGTGGTTGGCAGGGCACAGGGCCAGGTTACGGATCAGACCAACTGTAGCCTGATAGGAGAGAACAGGAAGTTTGAATAGTTCTGCTTCAACTGGGCGTGGCTTACTTATCATTTAGCATTAAAGCAAAGACAGAAGAGATCCTTAATCCAGAGGACCCTCCTCAGCACCAGGTACCTTGATGAGGGGCCAATGAGAAGGTGGATGCAGTAACTTGACCACCACAGGCAGGCCGTAGTGCAGCCGGACAGCGTTCTGGGCCATCTCTGCGTCCTGATGCCGGGATGTGAGATGGCGCAGGGCGCAGATAGCTGGCTCTGTGATGTCTTCTCTGTCTCCAGCCCGAAGAACCGTGCGCACCAACGCCTCAATACCCCCAACCTGCAAGAGCAACAAACAATTTAGGTTCCTACCCTCATATTCCCCTTTTAGAGAGAGTTGACGTCTGGACTGTTGGTACACAGATTTACTAAGAGTTTAAGTTACTTTGTCAGGAATTAAGTGGGGTTTTTTTAGTATCAAAATAAAACACATTCATGGTAAAGCTTTTCACTCAACAAGTCAAGGAAGAGGATTTTATCAAATTAAGTTAAAGAAATGTTGAAACAATCATATTTTAATGTAATGAGATCTCTTTATCTCATCTCTTCCTCTCAGACTGAATTTGTTTAGCCGGTTCACTGCATCCATGTTGGAATACAGTGATCCTGCGCTCCGTTTCCTCCTCGTTTTCCTGAAGGGATTAGAGGCTCATTTGTCTCAATATTTCCATCCTTTCATTATCA